AATTTGGCTTGCCATCGACTTCATCATTACGCTAGCCCGTTATTGTATACATACAATGAACATTTTCGGGGAGACACCTACATTTGAACACTTTAAAACAGACACAAGGGCTTATCTCCGGAATATTCATAAATGTAAGTATGAATGCAGTGCACACCTCGTATTTATTTACCCCGATTATACGTTTTTTGTAGTACACAACTGTTTTTCTCTCAGGGTGATGTTATATGTGCACTTATGAGTATTGTATATATTATAATTGCACTAAGAAAACATTTGAATGATAGAAATATGTACTACACAAGTGATCATCCTTTAGGTCCAAAACGAAAAATGATTGAGAAGATTTAAAAAAAAAACAAATTTAAAGACTCACTTTTTCGCTTGGCCGCTTGTGTAACGTTTATGGCTCTCGAACGGTGTCGGTCCGGATAACCGTCGCTGATGACCTAGCCGGACGGTTTTGTGTGTGACACCGGAAGAAGAGGGACGGAGGAGGCGACACGAAAAGGAAGATCACGTCTGATGACCAGACGTCCTGTTTCTGAGACTTAAAATATCGGTCCGACCGGGATGAATACAATTCCCCAAACTGTCCGGGATTTAGTTTTGCTCGGTACTCAGACGGTGTGAACAAACAGGCCGACAGATTCTCTCTCGTTCCACGCAGTATTGGTAGATGTTTTGAACTGACGCAGCGTAGCTTGAAAGGGGTGTGTGAGTGTGTGTGTTTCGGGGGGGTTTGCTGTTGTTATGGGCGTGTAATAAATAAATAACAATGTTTAACTTGTTTCATTATTTTTCTGATCGTTTCTTTAACATTGATCATTTTCGCAACCAACGACGTATTATTATATTGTATTATATTATAAATATATATTGTGTATAAATATGTATTATATATGCAAAGGAACAAGTAATAGGTTTATCCCATGCTGAAAGGAGAAGAGAGAAGACAACAAGCCTTCTTCAGGTGTGAGCTTATATTATTATATATGTAAACTGTCTTTTTGGGGTGAGCGGAGTTGGGGTGAGAGGGGATCGTTTTTTCTGGGTGTATATTTCCAGTTCTATAACTTTAGTGTTGTGGATTTGATCATTGTGGAGAATAGTGGATGGCAATGAAATACTAAAAAACAACAACAACAGAAATACCGATTGGATTCTGGACCAGCTGATCAGCGCACACAACACATAACGAGAAGGGCAGCAGGGAGCAGCGATTTCACAACAACACGACTGAGCTTAGTTATGATCCCCGGCGGGCGGCAGGACTTGTTTAAACTACGACTGGAAGGGCGGGTTTGAGCCGTTTCTGGGGGGGACACTGTGTGTCGACGAGGCAAGAACTAAACACCGCGACAATAAAGCGTGGCTTGGCCGCTCGCCAGCTGAGGTTGTATCATGTGACGCTGTAGCGCTGCCGTTTCCCAGAGTCTTCCTCAAGAGGGTGCGAGGTAGGGTCATACAGCAGAGGGACACCAGTCCACCACAGTGCACACAGACGCACAGTTCAGCACAGGAGTGCCAGACTCGCTCCTGGAGAGCCCAGAGTCTGCTGGGATTTCTCTCACCCTGAGAAGGTAGTTCATCTAAGCATGAATTCATCTGGCATCAACAAGATTTTACTTCAACCTCTTTACACTGGATGATTCAAAACAGTTCATTAAAATTACAGTTAAGCATCAGAGACAAGATAGGCAGCCATGACCAGTCATTAACCTCTGTGGTCATGAACAATCCCAGGGTGCCTCTCGAGAAGAGTAGGGGTGTCACCCCAGTGTCCTGG